CTCCAATTCACACAGATAGTGTGGTCAAATCATGGTTTGATGAATGTGCAGATGAAGACTTGCACCTTCCCCGGGCGCTGCAGTGGCCGGACCTCAATTTCATCATAAAAGTGTAGAATTTACAAGTATTTATAACCTCTCACAGGGATTACAGAACTTCCCACCACAATGCCTTTATCTGCTTTCCTCCCCAGAAGGATGCCACCACCTTTGTTTAGGCATTATCAAGGGTAAGCATCTTTTTTCCTAGACTGATATTGTTACACATCAGATATGTATCGTAAAACTGCTGAAAGGTCTACTTTAATTGCAAAATGTTCATGTTTTGAATGTAGTACATATTTTTTCTACTTGTGATTTTTAAAGGCTACCTCGATCTGTTGGGGAAAAAAAATTACCTGGTATAAATAAATCCCCATTTATACTCTACTTACAGTATTTACCACTACAGGTGTGTTTATATACAGCCAATTGTCTTCCATTAGAATTAGCTGCTTTGATAAAAATGCATCTACTAATAGAATTCCCTGGAGTCTGAGTAGAAGTCTATCCTGCCTTGCCTGTACTAAGTAGATGTGTTATTAAAAAGTGAGAGGTTGTTTTTTCCACCCTGAGTGACAAGCTCTGCATTGACCCCATTGTCTTCACTGAAGAACCAAGCATTCTCAAAAACTTCAGGAGTCATAAGAAATGGTGTATGTAATGACTTTACAACAGAAATAAATGGAATATGAAATGGTGTTTGCTTGGTTGCTTACAATGTATGACGTAGACATAGAAAGTTTTTTAAACTTTTTTTTGGCTTTTCTTTTAAAGCTGAACTCCAGGAATTTAACCGTTTTATAAAATGTGCTGGCATCGTATGAATTAAGTCCAACGGGATGACCTCCACCTCCTGATTTATCGCTCTAATTTACATCTGACAGTTTTGTGGAGCTCTGGGAGCACAGCTATGCCTACACTTGCAGAGCTCAGACAGCTGAGAGGTTGTGTTGTCATTCACAGCATCTCTGCCTGCCCCTCCCATCTTTTATATTCTGTGAATGAGTTAATTTAGTATAAAGTGCTCTGTGCTTGGTCCGCAGGAGGGAAGGGGTGGACACAGCATTTAAAACGTGATTCTTGTGAGCTACTATGGTGTATTTTGTGCATATATATCTTAATATAGTGAATCAATAAAATTAAACATTAACTAAAAAAAAAACAATATAAATTTATAAAAATAAGTGAAATATGTGCAAAATGAATGTGCTTGTGTGTATGCTTTGGATAAATATTGATTAAATAAATAAATAAATGAAATAAGTGAGTGGGTCACCTACACCATACACATACGCATACAAGTGTGTCACTATAATCAAAATCAAATGCAAACGTGTCACGCGCCACTAATTAGATTAAATGTGAAATATGCAAAAAAAGGTATATGCATACATTAAATAAATCAATAAATATAATTTTAAATATTTCTAAATAACATGAGTGGGTCCAACTTTAGTTTGCAATCCTGCTAAAGCTGCGTGCTTTCTACAAACCAACCGGGACTTATAGTGTGTTTTCCACTAGTGAAAAATATATAAAAAAAATATAAAAAAAATATAAAAATGATATATAAAAAAGTCCACAACATATTTATCTTGAGTGCTCCTTCACTAGTGTGCGCTTACTTGACTTACATGACCAAACCGTTAAGTGAGGTCAAAAACAGCTTGTGTCCCTTTAATTGGATACAATCTGATATGATAGAGGATCATACAGTATTGCATACAAAAGCGATTTTATTATTTATATCATGTGAGTGCACTATATTTTGTCTGAATAAATACTTTTTGAAGAAGATAAGGCACTATATTTTACTCTTTTTTCCATGGCACTTATGCATATGGAGAGATAAATCAGAAAGGAGTGAAGAGACCCCCTGGAGGGAAGAGGGATAACTCCATCCATCCATCCGACTCCAGGAAATAGGTCTCTAGGAAACAGTGAGACCCCCTGCTGGAAAAAAGAGAAATACTCCACTCATCCATCCATCTAGGACAGGGATACAGGTATCCACTCATCTCTAAATCCAATTAAAAGAACACAAGCTGTTTTTGACCTCACTTAACGGTTTGGTCATATAAGTCAGGTGAGCGCACACTGGTGAAGGATCACTCAAGATAAAGATGTTGTGGACTTTTTTATATATTATTTTTATATATTTTGTATATTTTTTTAATATATTTTTCACTAGTGGAAAACACACTATAAGTCACGGTTGGTTTGTAATAAGCACGCTGCTTTAGCAGATTGCAAACTAAAGTTGGACTCACTCATGTCATTTAAAAATATTTAAAAATATATTTATTGATTTATTTCATTTATGCATATACCTTTTTTTGCTTATTTCACATTTAATGTTATTAGTGGAGCGTGACACATTTGTATTTGATTTTGATTATAGTGACACACTTGTATGAGTATGTGTATGGTGTAGGTGACCCACTCACTTATTTCATTTTATTTATTTATTTAATCAATATTTATCCAAAGCATACACACACGCACATTAATTTTGCACATATTTCACTTATTTTTATAAATTTATATTGTTTTTTTATTTTATTTTTAATTTTATTGATTCACTATATTAAGAAATATATGCACAAAATACACCATAGTAGCTCACAATAATCACATTTTTTAATGCTGTGTCCACCCCTTCCCTCCTGCTGACTAATCACAGAGCACTTTGTACTAAATTAACTCATTCATGTCATTTAAAAATCTTTAAAATTATATTTATTGATTTATGTAATTTATGTATATACCGTTTTTGCATATTTCACATTTAATGTAATTAGTGGAGCGCTACACGTTTGTATTTGATTTTGGGTGGACACAGCAGCTGCATGCCAGTCTGCAGCTTCAGGTTGTGAAGACCAGAAGGTCCAGTATCGAAGTGCTGGAAGCCTAGCGATAGTTATGCTCCTGAAAAAAAAATGTAAATGGTAAATTAAAGTGATTACTGAATGAGGTGGCAAGCACCTTGTTGGACTTAAAGCCTACCAATTCAGCACATTTTACAAAGTAACTGAATTCCTAGAGTTCCATTTTAAGAGACTGTTGTTGAATGAGAAGAGAATTTCATCTTGCCTCTGGTCTCTCAGTTGCCTACTGAGCATCAAATAAATTGACTGTGGACAGTGATCCTTACAATTTGTTTTCTTCATTCAAAATGATGTTTCCTAATGATCTTTATATATACTGTGTTTGTGTCTTTCTTGAACCATAGCAACTTGTTTTTCAAATAACACATCGGCTTATTATATTTTATGGCTGCTCAAGAAGCATAATGCAAATAAATACAAAGATACAATACTCTATTGAAATCAAGAACATCAAAACAATTATGAAAACTAAAATAAAATGCAATGTTGTTGTTACCTGGTGAATGATGTGGTGGTGAGCACATGAGAACCACTCCTTGTCCTTCCCTTACGGAGACTGCACTTCTTACACGACCGCTGAAATTCCCAAGATCTGTAAGCAAAACAAACAGTATAACATATAATTCATATTTTGTATAGAACAAAAAAAAAGACATACATATGTTAATCTTCAAGTAGACCATACATCCATGGATTGCTCATCTACTCTGGGAGATCTGCCTATCTCTTAACCTCCTCGGCAGTATGATTATTTCCAATTTTTTGTGCTGAAAGCGGTACATTTTTTTGCATGGAAATATGTAGTTTTTTATTGTAGGCTGTAATTTTTAGGAATAACTCACTGAAATCTGTCCGAACAAGAGTCTAGTAAACATTCCGGATATCATAAAACTTGAAACACGAAATCATAAATTATAATTTAATAAATAATCATAAAAAATAATAATATAATAATAATATATTTAATTCAATAATAAAATCAAACCAAAAACACTGAAAACGATTTTGTGACTTTGCTCAGTGATGTGCGAATTTGCCTCTGTATTTCAAATTTCAGTGTCTGATGACGAATTTCCCCACAAATCATTATCACTCAATTCTGCAAGTGGTTCTGATTTACTATCGCTGTTCTCTAGCTGGTCTAAAACCACTTTTGACATAAAGGGACGCTTTTTGGATGCCATGGACTTTTCTAAGTTTCCAGGCAGAAAGAACAGTCAAAATGCTGGCAGGGCACAGGACAAAGCAGTAGGGACAAAATATATGAGAAATGCATTGAAACAGCAATGTTTTACTATATAATAATCATTTTTTAAAAAATGACATTTTTTAAAAATTTCAAATTTGCTCGGGGTTACCGCTTGTGGTACTGAAATTTTACCCCGAGCTACACTCGGGAATACCGCCAAGGAGGTTAAAGTCTAGACCTACTAGCCAGGCACAAACCTTACTCTCGATCAGTTGCCCCACCCAACCTTGCCCAGGTCCGCCTCCAACCCCACCCCGCCCCATCCCCCAACCCCGACCCCCAGCCCCACCCCAACCACGCCCCCTTAAAACTTATGAACTTACATTTTTCTTTAGAATAAAGAGTCCAAAATATAAAAAACTGCAATTATAACATAGCTTTATTGTGTCAATTTAAACATAACAGCAATAGCTTAATAGCAATAGGGTGCAATCAAAATATCAAGTTTTACAGCTTTAAACCTGTAGTGAACATTTAGTATTTTTTTTTGTTTATCTCTTGCATCTTTAACCACTACCCTACAGGGCACTTATACCCCCTTCCTGCCCAGGCCAATTTCCAGCTTTCAGCGCTGTCGCACTTTGAATGACAATTGTGCAGTCAAACAACACTGTACCCATATGAAATTTTTATCATTTTTTTGTGACAAATAGAGCTTTATTTTGGTGGTATTTACTCACCTCTGGGTTTTTTATTTTTTCTTAAACAAACCAAAAACCACTGAAAATTTTGAAAAAAAAAATATTTTTTTCTTAGTTTTTGTTATAAAATGTTGTAAATAAGTGATTCTTCTCCTTCACTAATGTGCGCTAATGAGGCTGCACTGATGGGCACTGATAGGCTGCACTGATCAACACTGATAGGTGGCACTGATGGGCACTGATGAGGAGGCACTGGTAGGTGGCACTGATGGGCATTGACAGGCATCACTGATGGGCGCTGAAAGGCAGCACTGATACATGGCACTGATATATGGCACTGATAGGCAGCACTGTTAGGCGGCACTGACTGGCACTGTTAGGCGGCACCAACTGGCACTGTTAGGCGGCACTGATGCGCACTGATAGGCGGCACTGATTGGCATTGATAGGTGGCACTGATGGGTGACACTGAAAGGCAGCTCAGATGGGCACTGATATGTGGCATTGATGTGCACTGGTAGGCACTGATATGTGGCACTGATGAGCACTGGCACGAGGCACTGATGGATACTGACAGGTGGCACTGCTGGGGCTACACTGATCATCAGGGCACACTGATCATCAGTGCCCTGATGATCAGTGTACATGTCCCCTCCGCGGAAAGCCGATTACCAGCTCTCCTCTCGAGCTGTCAGCGTTACCATTCGAGAGGAGAGAAAATGCCGATAACCGGCATTTCCTTGTTTACATGTGATCAGCTGTGATTGGACACAGCTGATCACATGACCGAGCCAACATCTTCGGCTCTTTCCGTGATCGGTGATCCGCTGTGTCCGAGGGACACAGCGCACCGCCGATCGCCGCGCTGCACGCTCCCTGAGCCGCGCATGTGCAGTGAGAATGGCAGGACGTCATATGATGTCCTCCCAGAACGAGAGAACCACCTTGCGCCCATCATATTACTATATGGCCGGCGGGAGGTGGTTAATATGGCTTTGGATTTTTCCAAATTCTAACCGTTAAGCTGGTCATTCACAGTTTGAATTTTGGGAAATTCCTGCTTAATGGGTTGAACTTTGGGATAGGCAGACATTTAGATTTACTAAAACTGAAGCACTTACAATCTGGTGCAGCTGTGCATGGTAGCCAATCAGCTTCTAACTTCAGCTTGTTCAGTTAAGCAATGACAATAAGGCTCCATGTACACGGGACGTTTGGAAAACACTTCTGAACAATGGAAACTGACTGCTGGAAAACGTAGGTTAAAAAACGTCCGTTAGCTGCGTTTGCATACCGCGTTTATGCGCGTTTGCATTTAGAAGCGTTTTTTTAAGATAACCTCAGGAGACCTTCCAAAATGCCCAGAATGCACTGAAAAACAGTATAAAATTAACTATTTCAGACATTTTGAGAGAAATAGAGAGAGCAGAAGCAGAGAAAGCAGTATGTGTTGAGATGACCAGTCTTTTCTGGTTGTATTAACTATGGATCCCATCATGAGCATAATGCGGCACGTTCTACCATTTTTTTTCCTTCACGCAAAACCTGGAACTGACTGCGCTGGTGTACTGAGTCCATGAGGTAAGCCAGGAAAAATTGCACCAGTTTCCATGGTGATTTTTGCACAAAGAGTGGAATAAGATACCATTATCTACCATCCAAGACTTATATTTGTCAATTCCCAGGAGAATTGACAGACCCATTCGGGACAGGGGCTATTAGAAGGGACTGCAGGCTAGCCTCTTGCCTATTGACTATGGACCCTAGTGTTTTAGGGGCTCTAATTTTTGGGAGGTATGTGCCTGCGAGACCTTTGGAGTACTTTCACTTCGAATTCAAGTCCGTGTCTCCCCGAAATACACAGACACATACAGATTCGGGGCCTCTGTGTTTTGTTGGGGTATGGAATCAACAGCCAAAATCATCATTGACTGCTTCAACCCCCTCCTAGACTCAGAGATCCAAAGCAGAAGATTATAATTGGCTCAAAACAACCTGATGCTGTGGTCTCCTGCTCTTATGTGTAATCTGTTTATTAAGGTGTTATGTGTTTACTGTTATAATGTGTACCTGTGTCTGCCTATCCTCTGTAGGTATGGAGCGTCTTTCTCCCATTGTGTAATTTCCCCAATTGTGTGCTTCCTAGGTGTCAATTCCCATTGTTAATTGGGTAACCTATTGTTTCTGTCTGTTTGATAATCCTCTGGAGATTCCTACAGGATGTGACTAGTCTTTTGTCAACTTTACCTCATTATCTAACCACTGTGGGATGTTTACCTCAATATGCAATATTTGTTTTTTGTTCATGTGGTTACTGCCCCTTTTTTGAAGTGTATGAAAACCTGTATTTCTGTTCAATAAAGTTATTCCTTTGGTTTTACTTCAACATCTTGTGTGTGTACGATGCTTGGGGTAAAGGGCTTGTATTAGCTTTTGGTCTGCTGCAAGGGTTTGGAGGTCAGTAGGCACTCTTTGGCAGAGTCACCTAACCAGGGTGCCAGGTAGTCTGTCACAATAGGCAATAAGAGAAGGGTAGGTTTTATGTTGTTTTGTCTTATTGTTGATGTCTTACAACAAAAGGGCGCATGAGTGTTGTCTTCCTAAGGCTAGGTTCACACTAATAGTAGGGGGTTCAGTGAGCGCTAACTAATACAGCAGCTGATACACTAAAAAGGAAAACCATAAAACCTTAAAAATGACAAAACATAACAGATAGTGCAGCACTAAAAAATTATATATACATATGACTGCATCAGTAGTTGTAAGGTGGTGCAAAGTTCCTAAGATCTTATCAAATAGTATAGGCCACATGCGATGTGTATGACCTTCCCAACAAAGATGCAGTAATGGCGTATACCACACACGCCTTCACTTCACCATATAAACGCACAATATAAATGCACAATAAAACGATAGTCCAATGAAAGTTTAGTGATCAAAAAGCCACAGATGGATTGAAAAGGCTTGATAAGATCCCCGTGACAAATATAGTCCGGCGTTATGCAGACAAAATTAGTAAATTGCACACTCACCGGAAGGTTCACACTATGTCAGGTTCTTTACATGGTCCCTGATCCTTTTCTAAAACTGCAGCTGCAGGAAAACCACATAGTGCTACCCATTTCCCAGTATGGGAAAGTGCATTGTGTTTTCCAATGCATAGGGGTGCAATTAGGAACTAATGGCACCCTAACGTGCCTGCTAACAGCAGTGCATTTTTGCTGTGGTTGAGGGAAAGTCTACAATATACACGCAGTCCCACACCCGCATAAATCTAGAACCTAAACTAAAACTAAAATAGGAAATGTGTTACTGGCAGAATCACCAGGTGAAAAGAAAGGAAAACACGCTTGAAAAAAGAAAACTAACATAGCTACCACATCTGGTTGGCAAGATGCAATACATTACATTTCTGTTTTTGGGATCAATACACTTTCATGATCACTATGATCCCAAACACGGCTAAATTCTTGCACATTCTTTCACTTGTTTATTTTGGAGAAACAATTTTCCAGCTTGCAGGAAAAACATGACAATTACCTTTGCTGCAGTTACACTTTTAGCTTCCTCTGCCTTGGCTCTTCCTCCAGTCTTAGAGCATTTATTGACGGGTTATGTTGATGGGCAAAGGCAGTAAGCTTTCAGGTGCCTTTTGCTTGCATTTGTGATCAATCACAGCTTATTAGCAGATAATTTTTTCTACGTTTTACCTCCTTCTGACCTGCATGTAACCTCTTTCTAAGCTGCTTCAAGATGCTTTCACCTTCCTGTTGTCTTGTATGGGGGAGAAGCATATCTGACCTGAACAAAAGCCCATTGGCACAGGCCCTTATACTCATACTTCAATCCAGTGAGATATCAGTGATGAGGCCACCATTTCTTGAAAAATACATTTGAGCCCATACATGCACCAAGCACTTTCTGTTCAGAGAAAGAGTTTGCCATTGCTCTCCATGGGATTAAATGGAAGTGCATAGTATATGTGTGGGTCACGCTCCGAAGATTTCGAAGGACAAAAGGCTCTCCCATCTCATCGGCAGTATTTTGCTGGACCAGGAACAGGTGAGTATAATGCCTAGTACACACAATGAGAAATTTGGATGAAAAATACCACTTTCGGAGCAATCATCTGACTATCTGATAGTTAGCACAGAGCGTTTGAGAACCAATCACGACAGTTCATGCAAAATTATCCAAAGGGACAAGCATGAAAAATTTTCTTGTACGATACCAGAACTAATGATTTTTGTGTAATCAGTGCAGTATTCATCCCCCCCAAAAATCGAATGACTGCGCATGCTCCGAAATGAAAGAATACATTACAATACAAAACAGTACAATACATTACATCATCGCAGGTAGTTGCATTCTGTTGTACGAGAATTTTCGCAACTTTAGTAGCCTCTTCATTTTTGATATGAGACTAGCATGCAAAAGAAAATGTACGATTATTCATCCAATATTCTTATCATGTGTACAAGGCTTTAGTCTTTGGACTGAGGAGCTTCAGTGCTGCAGTGGATATAGAACCCAATTTTTTTATGCAGTTAGACCAGTCCTGGTGGTGGCAGAAATGCCAGACAGCTATCTGGTCATGGAAGGGAAAGGAAACCCCTACAAGTACAAGAAAAACCTACCAACTCTTACCTGTCCTAAAGTGCGTTCATATATTTTTTACACAGTGGTTTCAGCTACATTTTCATATCAGTTATCTGTGTCATTTGAAGTTATCATTTTGGAAAAAAAAAAAAAAAAAAGATAACAGTCATGTAATGAGATTAAACAGCATAATCTGCAGCGCATGGTTTAGGAATTCTTATCGGAATCATGAAGCTCCAAGGCTATTATTTGATGATAAGGAAATGAATTAAGGTGCAGAGAAAAACAAAGCCTTAGATATTGTTAGGGGTGAGAACCTATAGAAACCAAATACAGGTTTTTTTTGTCATTTTCTGATCGTTCACACAGATGTTTGATATCTTGTATGAAAAGATTTTATTGAAGTTTGGCAAGATTGGATTAATCAAAAGACAGCATAAAAGATTACAAGAGTTATGCAAGTCAATACTTTATTTTTACAGAACAAAATGTACCAAATTGTATATAATAGACCAGCCATCGGCACCATTTCTTTTGTACATTTTTGCAGAGATAGTATCAAGGTCCTAGTCACACTTGTGCGTAATGCTAAGTGCATGTACCATGGTGCATTGCTATTCATTTTAAAAGTCCATCTTTCTCAACATGTTTCATGTTACAACCATATTTAGGGTGTAACATAAAACATGGTAAAACTCCACAGCCCCCACTCTCAAACCACCATCTTTAATTGAATCCGGGGGTTCTTCTCTCAGCAGGCTCCTGGTAACGTTTTCTTAATTCAGCGCAGTTGTGCTTAGTTCCACACGCACACTGTGCCATTCGCAGGAATCTGTAAATTAAAAACCTACATGTCCCTGCCACCACAGCAGAGAGACTTGTAGTTCTCAATGAAGTACAAATGCGATGACGTCACTGCACTGGTTGTCCATTGATACTTACATCAACCCCTTAGCTAAAATGTCTACCTTGGTATGGACTTATGGCTGGAGGAAAAATTATGGAGGATGGAGGTAAATTGGAGACATTCTGTAAGGATGTTAATCCATTGCATAGCTTGGTGTCATCTGCAAAGACTGAAATGGTACTTTTAATCCCAGACCTTATATTGTTTATAAATGTATAAAAAAGTAAGGATCCCAACACTGAACCTTGGGGTACACCACTGACAACCCTAGACCATTCAGAGTATGAATCATTACCCACTACTCTCTGAATATGATGTTTTAGCCAATTTTCTATC